ATTACTTTTAAAATATATAATTAAATAATTCCAACATATAGGATATAATTAATTTAAAATTTCAAATTATTGACAATAACGTACACCATGGAATTGGAATTGAATTTGAAATTTCAATTTTATGTTCGAATTCTTTACCCAATTTAAATACAGAGTAACTATAAACAATTTCAAGTCAATTCCATCAAAATGGGAATTGTAATTCTAAGCTATAGTTTTAATTCCACACACCTAAATGTCATTAAGAGATTAAAATTTAGTATCTTCAATATAATATTTCTATATTTTAATTCTTTAAATATTACCTTTAACGCCGTCCATATTAGATTGATTTTTCATCCTAGAGCTAAACGGATGCTAAGTGAAGCGGAAAAACATTAGTCTTATCTAATTAGGTCTCATTAGATTTTCAGAATGATCAAAATGTCAATAATTTGATTCTTGAAAATAACACTTGTTGTGTGGGTTGAAAATAACATTTGCTAAAAGATATTAATTTCTTACTTATATAGTGAGGAGATATACTTGGAAATACAAAAAAATATCTAATGAAATGAAATTTATTCATAATAATGATAATACATAGAAAGGGAAAAATAGTAGATAAGGGTGAGAATCGTCTCCCATATGGGAGAATGGAGTATATAAAAATAAAAAGGTGAAAAAATAATATGATGTAACAATTTTATTATATAAATATAATGAAATTATATTTTTACATTTAAAATAAAAAAAACAACTTCCAAGCCAATAATTTTACTCTCCCTGTGTTGTTCCCAAGAATAAATAATGAGGATTAAGATATGGATGAGTAATATATTTTTAAACGTGTTAGAATGTTATTCCTCAATTACACCTATAATCTAGAGAGAAGTTTTTCGGTTTATTGAATTTATAGAAAGTATTTATATATTTTATTAATACAATTTTTCTCTAGTACTGGATTAAGAAGATGAACAAAAAAAAAAAATTGAAAATAATTTAAATCATAGCAGTTAAAAAACTGTCACATGTCACAATTTTCATTTAATATTGGACTCTTCAGTACTAGAGAAAATCATCATCCATATTTTATATATCCATAAGTCATTTTTAATCTATCTACCCATATTATATTGGATAACTTTATAATATTGGGAGGTGAATGTCATCATTACACGGATCTCCCTTACGGAAGGTGAATGGTGAATGCAATGATTTAAACAAAATGAATAATTATTATAATTAAGCTAAACCATAAAGGATGTTAACAATGTTTCTAATATTGTATAAGTTAACAAATCAGATAAGGTATTGAGTTGGCGATACGCCAGTTCAGTCAAACATCGTACCAATGAAATTAGATATACATATATAGAGATGGTAATATGGGCTTGGCCCGGTGGGCCAACCCGTTGGGATTGACATTTTTAGCAGGTCGAACCGAAGATTTTAGCCCAAAATTTTATACTCAGCACGGTTTTGGAAGCCCGTTTTTTAGACGGGTCGGACTATCCCGATAGGCTAATATTAGTATTGCTTTAGCATTTTAAGGTTACATGTGGTTCCAATAATGTAACCAATTTAATATTGTTTTCCAACCGAACATTTTACACTGGAACCAATTTATTATTCATATATAAGACATTTATGAGTAAATTACTTATCAATGTAATATATATCATATACAACACATTTACATATCATCATTTAATTTATATCATATATCGTATTTTGTTTAACTAAATTACATTTATCACTTTTTTGTTTAAAAAATTACACTTCTTTCTTCTGCAGAGTTGGTCAATGTAATGTATGTTTATAAATCAAGGGGGTTTTGTAAGTGTAAAAAATGGAAGGATAATTTGTGTAATTTCACTAAAAATCGGGGAATATCAGTGTAATTTACTGTGTATATTATTAATAAACTTTTGCAAAAGTTCCAAACGTTATACTAAATTGGTTAGTAATATTAATAATAAATTGATTATATTATTATGTAAATTACAACTGATAAGTAATTTATATCATATACAAGACATTTATATCATATACAAGATATTTACTTATGAGTGTAATTTACTCTTTATATTGGTTAGTACTCATATACAAGTCTTCTCAAAAGAATAATTTTTTCATAGAAAAGTGGAGGCATATTCTTCTAATAGAACATCTAATGTTTAAACCTTAGGAGTTTGAAACTTTATTATGAACTGAGTGTAAAAGTTTAAGACTATGTTGGCTAGTTGTTTAGAACTTACAAGTTTTAAACCAAAACAATATATTATTGTGAGATTGTGAACTTTAGTTTGTTATTTTTTGTTTTAAAAGACATTTATGAGACATTATGATTATTTATTTTTGAAATTGTGATTGAGTTAGTTATAATTTTGTTTTTTGAAAAGAAATAAAATGGGTCAACCCGCTGGCCTGCTAGCCCTGCCAAATATCGGTTGGGCTGACATTTTGAGCCCTTTTAACAATAAGGGTCGGATCAGACCATCCCATATTTTGGCGAGCCATACATACCCTTATTGCCACCCCTATACATATATACTATAATAACATTATTGATAATAAAGAAGACAATAAAGACTTTTATTTACAACAATTTTAAAGGCAAAATATGTGACTTAATGTGGACCATGTTTTAGAAGTATATACAATCATTGTGTGTTTGATTCTCTACAACAACATTTTAGTAAACATTAAATCACTTTGTAATAGAAAATAATTTTATATGAAAATCGACTAATATAATCTTTAAATTTTAAATTAACACAAACCAATATTACCTATATTAATCACTTTTTGCTAGTTTTGGCAAGTATCATTACATTAATCATATCAATTCATTAGTTTTCTCCCTGAACCCATCATTACGGTCCAATTTTTATGATACTAGATGTGAGTGTAATTTAAACTATTTAATAATAATAGTATAAGAATGAGAGAAAGAGGATAAGAATGAGTGAATATTATTATGATGATGTCTATGGTGGCAATTATGGAAGCAGGGTCCTCTTTCCCATTTGCATGTCCTTACCAATAAGATAATAATTCAACACATTACTTTAATTTTATTCTACCATGGCCTTCTTCATTTCCTACTAGATCAATACCATACAGGTAAATTTAATATGGGGAGAGATCCACTTACTCCAAGAGTAAATGGAAAAACACTTACTCTACATCATGACCATTCATTCTTGAGAAATCCAATGGTTTGAATTGGTGAGTACATCTAAGTCATTGAATTTTTTAAGATTGGATGGCTAAGATGAAGAGTAAGTGTTTTTTGGAGTAAGTGGATCTCTCCCCATTTAATATTATGTTAAAAATAATTTATAGAGTGAATATTGATTTTAATTTTTATAAATTTTTGTGTGTATCAATTTAATTCCGGTAAAAATAAAAAAGTCCATATTGGTGATTAATGATCATAAATATAAATTAAAATAGTTCATGTGTCATTAAGCATACTAAAAATAATTAATTTGATCTACATATGATATTTTTTTGGACCATTTTGCGTTTTTCAATTTTTCATTTGCTAAAGTGGTACACATGAAAAAATTTAGGGTTTAAGATAAATGTTTAAGAAATGGAATGAATGAGGTCGTAAGTTCGAGTCTTATCTATAACAAATTTAAAAAAATATAAAGAAAAAATGAGTTATAAGGTGATTTAATGTAGTGAGAATGAAGTTGAGAGTTCGAGACTCGCCCACAACAAATACCAACATACTAACATTTGCCGATAAAAAAATACATCTTTACGATGACTTGAAAATCAAATAAAAGTAAACTCTAACTCAAATCCTTTATGATTTTGTTATGAAGGAGGCAAATTACAAGCTTTGTTTTTATTTATTGTTCTTTGAGTTTGATTTTTGAAAGAGAATAAAACACAAACCATTGTAATTAATCAATTTTATGGTCATATTTTATTACCACCAATATAGTTTTGGACTTGTTTTTATTAAAAAATGATGATCCCATTAAGTAAGAGGTGAATTTTTAATGATTTGAGATGATATTATTGGTGAGACATGAATGGATAAAGACAAATGAGAATGGCCCAATTATTGATGCTATGAAGTTAACTTTAGAAATATTAAAAGAAAGTAAGTCCAATTAAGTTGCATAGGATTCTAATATTCCCTCCAATAAGAATCAATGACCTAATCCCACTAAAGCATAACGGCGAACCTTTATAGAATACAAGTTTGGGTGGGTGGGGTAGAGAGATATGATAATGGGTGGACATCTTCTATCCAACTCTATATCATTTCATGTGCTAGTGTTTGTAATTGATCAGAAAAATATTTCATTGTTAAATTCGTAACTTAAATAGATTTTTTCAATCAATCATAAACATTAACACATGAAGTAATACACTTTATGGGAAAACAGATATGCTTCCTATGACAATAATCAACCTCTTTTAATTTCGATCACATTTTATATCTAATAATTAAAATTTATACCTATGCACATAGAATTTAATCTATTCGTTTTAATAAGATGTGTATCTAACATGTTGATTCGCCCTCATAAGTAATTAAACTCGTTAAAATTAAGGATGACAACAGACTGGACAGACATGAGTAGTGTATACGTGTACCTATATCTGCACTATTTGTGGGTACCCGTGTAGTTAGTGGGTATCCATGAGTACCAAATGAGTTTTCAATTTTAATTATATTTTACAATAATTAATACATAAAAATAATTATTACTTTAATATTATGATATATATGTGATAATTTTATGATTATAGTCATATCACTAAATTTTATTATGAAATAATAATAAAAAAGACAAATATAATGTTAAAATAATAATAATTAAGTATAAAATATTTAATTAAAATACATACACGGGTACCCGCGAGGCTGGTATCATGATATCCGTTCCCACACATGAGCTATTTTTTTGGTTACCTATTGCGGTTATATTGACGAGTACCCACGAGTTGGGTATTTTTGCCATCCCTAATCAAAACTAGTTAAACTCACCATTCCTTCATAATACTACTTCACTATAGGTCACTCATGAGTATTTAGCTTTGCAAGGTGGTCATTGTTGATTCACATGAGGTTCCACGTGCTCCACGCTACTCGAGTCATAGCATAAGCTAGTGATGCTTTCGGCTACTGTACTCTCGTCATCTAGGGTGCAACACTCCATCGCTTCTTCTAGCAGCATGACACTTGTATAGCTCTCCCACAACCCCATTTTCGCTCGCCGCTACTTTTTGATTAATTTCTAGTCATTCAATATTCAAGTCACAATTATAGATAAAAGGGAATGACTTTATTTTTTGAATACCTATCTTAATTTATGGTAGTAATGGGGTAGGACAAATTGAGACATATAGTTTATATATATATAACTAGTTAATATCTAATATCACATATATATGTTTTTCTTTTATACCGTAAACAAATTATTCGTATCTTGAATTCAATATCGAATTCAAGGGTAATCCTCGGTCCTAACCAAGAACAAATATAGAGGTTACTAAATGAGACTTCCCTCTAGGCTCGTTAGAGATTAGAGGAAGCTTTCATTGAGTGCTTCTACCTCTCTTACCTTAGCTCTAAGGGTGCAAAAGACTCACTAGCCTCTAAAAGTGGGTTGCTCATAAAAATATTACATATTTTTTAAAATAACATACTAAAATTCGAACATTAAATATGATATATATCGTAAATAATTTCAATAATTGAGTTATATTTGGTAAATAATAATAGGAGAAATATTTGATTTACATATACAAGGCATTTTTATATTCGGTGACCGAGTACTATGATCCTAAGCTTTAAAATTTAAGGGCATGCATGCTTACACAATCTTATAATTTATTTGAAAAATTATAATTAATCAACTCCTTCAATAAGTTTCTATAGTATAAAATATAAATAAAAAGCAATGTAAAGTTATTTGGTGAATTATCAATAATTCTTAAATAATAATACCTTTAAACTTTTTGTCAAATGATAAGTTATATCAATACAGTATTATATGTCTTTTAACAAGCTAATTGTGTGTGGTTTATTTTCCCAAACATTATAATTTAAATGGTTATCTATGATATAAACTTTCACCTACAATCCCATAGTTTTTACTATTATTTCTACATCTATAAAATATAGAGTAAATATTCAAATTATTTTTCTACTTTATCAATTTGGTCCGTCAAAAATTGAAAAATCCAAAATGGTTCCAAAGAATTTCAAATGTGGATCAAATTGATCCCTATTGAATATTGTAAAATATGCTCAAAATAACTAATTTGACTTATATTTGAAATATTTGGGATCATTTTAGGTTTTTTAATTTTTTAGAAACCAAACTGGTAATGTCGAAACTTAAATATAAAAAAATATATGGCCAAGGACTTTTATGTGGGCCTTTGGTCTGTGCAAAGTACCAATCAACAATGAGTAGTAGCCGTGCAGCTTCAGCCTACCTCTTTTGAATGTCTTCATACTTTGCATTTGGCAATTAAAGTATTAAATTATTGGCTTCTTAGACTTTGACTTCAAATTTCTCATTCTTTAACTTGTTCTTCAACATTCATACATAGTAGCTAGGTTGCATATGTCATGTTTCTTTTATGTTCTCTATTTCACCTTTACCGATGTTATGATTGATAATCTGCTTACATAATTTTAACAATACCATAAAAGGTCTTAAAGAAATCGACCTAGTTCATTCAACTCAGATTCATGACCTAAAAACAAAACAAAATAACTGTAGAAAAGAAGATAAGGCAATTAATTGTAAGGTTTCATCTCAAAACCAATCGGCAATGAGAAGAGTAGTTCAACATGTATTTAAACCATTCCCGAGACAATGAGGTATGCGATGTGGGAATTACTTCCCAACATGCCCCCTCCACATAAGCTTGTCGGATCAGGCGAAGGGTTACCTCTGACCGATAACTAAAGGACATCTTTTGGCCCATGACAACCGGAAAGAAGTTGGGCTCTGGCTCTGATACCATATTAAGGTTCCATCTCAAAACCAATCGGCAATGAGAGGAGTAGTCCAACAAGTATTTAAGCCATTCCCGAGACAATGAGGTAGGCAATATGAGACTTACTTCCCAACAATTAAAACATGCAATTTATTTATATTACATTTCTCTATACAAAGTAGACATAATCTATGAACTCCTGAAGCTCCAGCTACAGAAAGAAAACAGATCAAACACTTAGCTAAAGAAAATTAAAGTACACAACAGAACCAAATTCTACTCTTCTTACTCTATGATCAATTAGTACTTTCATCAACATTCTGTCTTATAAAGTGGAAAGTTGTCGTTATAAGTTGTACAAGTATCATTTCTGTTTAACGCGTTGCATGAACACGGTTTCTAAGTCATGTGGCGTGGTCGTAAACAACTCTTTAACAACTCCCCGATGATTAGACTTTCCCGAAGCTTTTCGCTTCATAGGAGCAGGCGGGCATGACAACATGGTTGGGATCCTCGACTTTGAACTCGTTGGTGTTGTACAAATGTACACCCTTTCTTCTTCTTCTTCTTCTTCTTGCTCCTTCTTCTTATTCTTCTTCTTCTTATTCTTCTTCTCCAAAGGGATGGTATATATCGGCTTCAATGGCGCTCGTAAACCAATTCCAGCTATGACCCATTTTTTACTATCTGCTGTTTCAAAACTTCCCTCTGCTACTTCAGACAAACCCATATAGAATCACACACCAAAAAGCTGTTTCAATCTTGATATATATATATATATATATATATATTTAAGTGTATATATAATACAATAAGGTAGAGGGATGAGGGAATAAATAAAGATGGTTCTATAACTTTTTGTATCCTATTCAGATGAATCTGAGAAGAAAGTGTGTTGGCTGATAAAGTGGGAGATAAAGAGAGAAAAGTTGTTCTAAGGAAGTAGGGAAGAAACAGGGTTTTGGTTAAATGAAAGAGATATAGTGAAGATTGTTGTAGATGATGGGGCAGAAGAGAAGATCAGAAAAAGTTTGAGAGTGCAAAATAATAAAACTTTGAAACCAAATGAAAGCAAGGAAACTCTTGACATTTAGCAATGAAGATTAAATTATAAAAGAAGAATGAAGGGACCCACTTCTCCGATAGTAGGTGGAAAAAACCTATTTCATATCTTAGTCATTCATTATTCGAAAATCCAATGGTTTAGATATACTCATCAATTCAAACCATTGTATTTTCCAGAAATGAATGAGTACGATGTGGAGTATGTTTTTTCTACTTACTAAGTGAATTCCTTCGTAAAGAAGTGTATATAAAACAAATAGAAGGAGACAAAAAATGGGTGGATAAGAGGTGCCCGTGAAAATTGATGAACCTGCAAGTAGGAAATCAAAATATTCCAAGTGTAAATCACTGAACACTTTTGTAAACATTGTCCAAGCCAATAATTAAAGAATCTTAAAACATTATAATTCTGGTGAATATTAATGGGTTTGATAGATTAAGAAACTGACTTTATAATTTCACAATTATGACTTCTTTTTTTAAATTCATTAACCATTGTCCTTGTTAGCCAAATAGATAATGCAATTTTTTTTCCATCAAAGGTATAAGTCCAGCAAAAACAACCAAACTTTTATCCCATTAAGTGAATTCAGCTACATGGATTGAACAACGTCATAATCTCCTATCATAAGTTATATTCATTGATAAAAATTAAGTTCTAAGTCTAAAAGTATACTTTAGTCCATTCAAATAAATTTGGTAATGTGAAAAAATATCATGTTCCAATAAATAGAACATAAGATGCCATCAAAATCAAATTGCTGTACTTTTAACTAAGATAACTGCAACAAACCATGATCAAACAAAATAAAAACAATCTCTATTAGCAATGCCAGTGTTTAAGAAATTACATGAGTTCCATTTCCACTATGTAGGTAAATTAACATACAAAATAATGCACAAAAAGTTTCAAAAATTTGACTATTAGTGTGTCATAAGTACTTACAAAACAAGTATCCGTGGTTTCCAAAATTCCAAGTATTCTGGAGAAGGTAACCTTAACCTAAACCTCAACCAACATGGGTAAAAAGGATGATCTTTTCAGTCTCACCTAAATTTTTGTTTGTTTGTAAATTACCTTATTTGGGATCTCTATAAGGGGGAACACATCTGAGGTTTTTTCCTTCCTTTTTCATCACTCGCGTTGTACATATTTGCGATGCTCAACTACTTGGGACTTACTCAATCCACTTTGTGGGAGACTTTGATATAGTTTAGGAGCCGCTTCAGAGCGTTACCACTGTCGATGGCTTCTCGGGCTCTATCCAGGGCTACAGATATGTCTTCTGCACCATCAGCTCTAAGCAAGTGATCCACCATCCCAGCATTTAAAACAATCCGGTCATATGCCGGTCCCTTTTCTCCGCAGAGAGCTGCTAAACCCAATTCAATGTTCTTTGAGACCTGAAGTTTCAAAAGGAAAAACACATTCCAGTAAAAAACTTCGGCTTTCATCAAAACATAAACTGGCAACATATGAGAAGCTCCCTAGTCCCTACGTGTGATGATATTACATTACATAAGTTTAACACATTAACATTCCAGTACATCATCGAAAAATAAACTGCTTTAAATGGTTACACACAATTTATGCAATGGAAAATGTACATGCTTGAGCCGGAAGTAAAATTAAATGTTGCATACGATTTTAAATAATGAAACGCAGTCAACAGAACTAAAGACCAGAAGGTATTAGCAAGTCTAGGAAAATCACATGATAGAAAAACAGGTATTAGCAAGTGAATTGGCTTTTGATTTTCAGAAATATTGCATACATATTGAATTGCTAGAAGAAATGTTTTTTTCTTTTAAAGAGTATGTATGTAGAATATTATAAATCAAATCATAGAAATAGATGTTAGAGACTGGATTAGTCACCCAAACCATCATTAAGGAATTTATTTCAGTAAGGCTCATCTAAGGATTCTTATTCTAATAATCTAATGTAATAAGAATAAGTGGGTGCTTCATACGAAATAGGATAGGTGTGAGTATGGATTTTAAGTTTTTAATAGGCGGCCACCATGACTTATCTACTTGATTTAATCTTCTCACCCCTTGCTCCATCTCTCTCTCTCTCTTCAATCACTATCCTTCAAGATCCTCTTTAGCCACATAAGTAGCCTTAATTTACAACCACCAATTGCTTTGTTATAATTAATACTAAAAAGTTTCTTAAACTGTCCCATATAAGGTGAACCTAGCACTAATGCTTTGATGTCTCTGTATAAAGAACAAGCAACCGTACAACAATAGAAAATATTTGAGCATATTATAAATGGAT